CATCCCTGGCTATAAGAAGCCCTCGTCATCAACAATTGATCCAGACGACGCAATCACCCTCAGAGCTCGTGTGATCAAGTTCAAGTATCTTTCCTCGGAAGAACAAGACGAATCTGACGATGTGTCCACTGCGCTGCGACGATTAGTGGCGCGTATCTCTGATAAGGCCGCGTCCGAAAAGGACCTGCTACCTTCCTTGGTCGAATTGGCTAGCCTGTTCGCGTCACCCAACACATCAGTCTCCAGTTTCGAGCTGCTGCAAAGCGGTGTCGTGGACAGTTTACTGCAATTCTTGGCAGACGCCGATCGAATTGGTACGTGCTCTATGCTACTATGCAACACACTCCTCACGATCCCCTCTACTAGTCGGTATCACACGCCGCCAAGATATCTTTTTTGAGGCATTCACTGCAAAGAAGGTGATTGCTTTGAATGGGTCGCAAACGCCTCTCTCCATTTTCGTCAAGAAGTTACAGGAGAGTCTAACAAGGATGGAATCGTTTGAGGTAGTCACAGTTGCGCAGAGCATTGATGGTAACAGTAGCCTCCATTCTGTAACATCTTATCCGCTAACTCACATCTGTAGATTCCAAGAGAAGCTCTCCGTCCTTGCTTGCCAGGCAGCTTCGTTTGCGCTTAATTGCTGCTGACGACTCTGACGTTCCTCGCAGTTTGAGCAATATCATAGTGTCCATCCATGCTATCGCTACTTTCCAAGCTCTTCATGATTATCTGAGACCGAGGGTGGCTGGTTTACTAGGATCAGGCTCGAGGATATCCGGCATGCTTGCTGCTTTGGCAGCTGCAAGTTCTTCCGGCCAAACGGAACCTCCCAAACCCCCATCGACGTCCGAGACTACAACGACTCAATCTGCAAGTGTCAGTCGCCGTCGAAGTCTTCGTCTAAGTGCGAAACGAGCCGAGCAACATAACGAGGAAACCTCAGGCACACCCGATCTACCAGCGCCACACCCGGAGGTTGCAGCGGAACCCACAGCCGCCGCGGAGTCAGCGCCCAGCGATACCATCGTAAACGACGATTATGGCGGAGATTTCACTGATGAAGAAGTGGACGTCGATGCAGAAGTATGTGCTGTTTGTCAGTCGCAACGGGTTTCACTGACATATTCGCCAGGTGATTGATGATGGTGAGGACTCCGACAACGCTACGCCCGAGAAAACAGTTACCGTATCTGTTGGTGACGGTGCGAAGTGCAATTATCATGGTCAAACCGCTGACACTTACATTACATTACCTCAGATGGTTCCAAGGTAGTTGCTCAAACTCCCGATGGCACACGTGTTGCCACACCAAATCCTTCGCGCGGTCTGGCGTCAACACCGACACGCACTTCAGGATTACCAAAGACATCATATGCTGCAGCATTAAAGACCAAGCCCAGCGACTGGCATCTAGAGTTTTCCATGGATGATCACAATCTGCCGCTGGATCTCACTATATACGGCGCGATACATCAGCATGAGGCTCGTAAGAAGACGGGACAATCCCTGCCTCCCAGCATGATATGGCAGGGCATCTACACGGTGAAGTTCAGAAAGGTTGCCGGTCCTGCACCTTCGTCAGAGAGTAAGTCGTCCCACATTTGTCCATGGACGTATTGACTCAACATCATCCTTCTCACAGATCGCGGCGATGAACTGTCCTCCCGCAGCCGATCGCCTGTTCCTTCATTATCTTCCCTGTCAGATGATGCACCACACGCCAAGATTTTGCGCCTCTTGAGAGTCCTGTACAGGTTGAATGCAAGCGAGAATGACCGTGCCTCCTTTGCAGCTTCGAGACGCGCACTTTCAGAATCTTCGTTCGTCAACAACAAGCTCACGGCCAAGCTTACGAGGCAGTTGGAAGAACCCATGATCGTGGCGAGGTATGCGTCTCTCCGCTTACTTTTGTTTATTAGTCTTATCAAGTGTTTCCAGTTCCTGCCTTCCTGATTGGTCTCTTGACCTTCCCCAGCACTTCCCTTTCTTATTCCCCTTCGCCACCCGTTACAACTTCCTGCAGTCTACCTCGTTTGGCTATGCACGACTGATCTTGAAGTGGCAAAGTCAACAAGCGCGAGGGCAGGACAGCAGCTCTCGTCGGGATGATGGCGTAGGCTTTCTTGGACGATTACAGCGCCAAAAAGTTCGGATTTCTCGCAAACATATATTGGAATCTGCCGTCAAAGTCTTTGAGCTATACGGCTCGTCATCGTCCATCCTTGAGGTCGAATACTTCGAAGAAGTAGGCACAGGTTTGGGACCCACTCTCGAGTTCTACTCGTTGGTGTCTAGGGAGTTTGCCCGTCGAGATCTCAAGATATGGCGAGATGCAGATGTCATTCAATCAGGCCCATACGTCCATCATCCTACGGGATTGTTCCCTGCGCCCTTGGGCGTTACAGATGTAGACAACGACGCCGGACAGTAAGTGATTCAGCTTCATCGTAGTACGAGTCCTGAGCATAAGCCTAATCCAGGAAACGCACCCATATCTTCAAAGTGATCGGCCAATTCGTGGCGAAAGCCATGCTAGACTCACGAATCATCGATCTCTCCTTCAACAAGGTCTTCTTGAAGTTGATCCTTGGCGAGGAAGTAGTGCTTACGGTCGAAAATTTGAGAGTAAGTGTGTACTTAATGCTTCCGTCGACATCAACACTCATTGTGTCCAGCGTGTGGATCCTGAACTTGCGGCGTCGCTCGTCAAATTGCGGAACATGACCATTGCCTCCAGAGGACAGAGCGAAAAGGTACGCACACTGAACGAAGGGATCGTATAATGTATTAATCCCTACTTCGTAGATGCGGAGGAAGCTAGGGATCGTAAACATAGAAGACCTGACACTGGATTTCACTATTCCTGGTTATGACATCGAGCTAAGAGCAAGTACATCGCGTTCACTGAAGATGCTTATACTTACGACGAGTTTAGCCTGGCGGTCGCGACATTGCTGTTACATCCGAAAATGTCGAGGAATATATCTCTGAGGTCATCGACTCTATAATCGGACGAGGCGCTAGCCTCCAAGCAAAAGCCTTCCGTGAAGGATTCTCGAAGGTATTCCCAATCGCCGATTTGCAAGCTTTTACCGCGGACGAGCTCGTCATGCTCTTCGGTAATTCTGAAGAAGATTGGAGTATAGAGAGTACGCCAATCAAACTATTCCAACATGGATATAGTCTAATGACCCTCCTCTTAGCTCTTACCGAAGCCGTTAAAGCTGACCATGGCTTCAATGTCGAGAGCAGGGCAATCCACGATCTACTGGACATCATGTCCGATTTTGATCTGCCCATGCGGCGTAGTTATCTGCAGTTCATAACCGGTAGTCCTAAGCTTCCCATCGGTGGTAAGTTGTTCTACCTTGTTAAGAGATAAGCGCTAACACTCTCCGCCACGAAAGGTTTTAGAGGCCTCAACCCTCCGCTGACGGTCGTGCGAAAGCCGCACGAACCACCGTTGACAGCGGACGATTACTTGCCGAGCGTGATGACGTGTGTCAATTATCTGAAACTTCCAGAGTACTCGTCGAAGGCAGTCATGCGCGAAAAGCTGCAAGTCGCAATGAAGGAAGGCGTGGGAAGCTTCCATCTATCGTGAACCGCGTATGCTTACATCCAAGGATCACTCAATATCAAGTTCCATGTTGACTTTCAAGCCCATCTGTACTTGTTCTCATCTGTTTTTGCTACGTATCATCCTTTCCCGTCCCGTCACTGTCACTGTGTCCATAGATAATGAAGCCCACATAATAACCATGTGCATGTATCAACCGTCATTCGTTACAACAATGGACTCTATCTTGAACGTCGAAATTTGGAAGCTTGTGTATTGAGTCTCTTTCGCAAAAAGTATGAAACAGAGAGTAGCATCGTATCATCACAATCGTGCTATGTTGATTGAAGTCTCGGCGTAAGGCATTTGTTTAAGCTCACTGTCCCCACACGTAGAAGCAAGGTGACTTGCATCGAACAAGACTGACTCTCGCCTTAATGTGGAGCGGTCTAACTTTCCTGTCAGACAATCTTCGCTGACAGAGCATAGCTTAACGAAGATGTTGCAGAATCCGCCATCTCGGATGAACATCAAGGCCACGACCGATTCTTCATGAAAGTCATTGAGTCTTACGATGCTTCATGGAGGTTGAACCTGATAACATTAAACATGAATGCGAGTTGCGCCTCGAACATAGGGAATAAGCACATGTACATTTTCGAAGGCCAGGTAGCTGAACTTCGCGCTCGTACATATGTACGAGTGAATAAGGGCGCCGCGGTTAACCCTTCTTGAAACCTACCGAGGTCTATTAGTATGCATCAAGAGATCGAGGAATGTTTGCGCATACCAAGTCTACGCCGCTCATAGAACAGATCTGTTCGACTTGCGCCTAGGTTCACAATCTTCGGGCATCCATCGCGGTCCTTCTCCAGCCTTGTACACTCAGCGCAGTAGTAGGCGTCAGAAATACCTATCAACGCGTGAGGTTTAATGGCATAGTGAGTGAAATCAGGCCAATCTTACCAGGAGAACCGCAAATGATACATCTTCCACCGTAAGTACCGAAGTTGCATTCGTCGCAAATGCGCACTAGAGTCTCTGGACGGACATAAGAGTCACACACAGGACTGGGAGTTGAGAGGAGCAATGAGGCAGGATACACTACGCGAGAAGAACCGACTGACCATTTGCCATCGCATTTCTCACACAGTCGACCAATGGCTAGCGCATATGTCAGTCATAAATCGCTTGTAAGACTTGTTAAGGAAGCAATACTCACCAATTCCAGGCTGACGCCTACACATTATAAGATCTGAAGCATAAGAGACTGATCAGCGCGACTGATGGAGCCGTGGAGTGAATTCACATACCGGGATGATGCTTAGACATGGTGGTTAGAGGTTAACGTCGCTGGCGCTCGAACTCGACGTGGGGAGGGTTACATACAAGAGAGAGCTCGATGACCGTGTGGTTATCTTAGTAAGCAAAGATTGAGGGGCACTTGGCACAGTGGTAGCGCGCATGCTTTGCATTAATGTCGCAGGTTGCATGAGGTCGAGGGTTCAAACCCCTCAGTGTCCAATTTTTTCTTCTCGATTTTTAGCAACGATACCAGGTAAACCGTAAGGCTCCAACCATATAGTTTACATATACTTTTTTACTGTATTTAAACAGTATATGTAAACTATATAGTTGTAAACAGTTTATATATGGTATACGGTATTCGTAGATGGTTGTTCGCAGAGAGCACGACTGTCACGTCAAACCCGGCACTTCTTGCACGTAGCTTCGATGATAGTACACACGAAGTCCGTTGCATACTTTCCGCGGCGAACGTGAAGGCGTTCCAAGCTGTCGCAACAATTCAAGACGGGGAAAGTGTGTCGAAGCGCCGCGTCGACTCGAGGACGGACTTCGCTTTGTAGCAGGCTCGTGATCAAGTACGACACGTTCTATATTCGCGTTTTCGTGGGCGAGTGCAACGGCTTGCGAAAGATGACTACGTTCATCCAGCCCAGTGAGCAGTCGCGTAGTACTCCACTGCTCAGACGGTAATAGTCGCCGCGGGCCCCGCCACCGCCGCCGCATCGTAAACCCGTACCAAGGGCTCATAAATAGATTCGACTGAGGAGGTGAGAATGAGGCCGCGAGGTAGTAGACCGGAATCGCACAACATGAACGATATTATGGTCTACTGTCCGAGTCGTCACGAGATTGTTGGCAGTGAGGCCTTGAGGGCCGACTACTCTTCCGTAGTACAACTTGGTGGACAGAATCGTCAAGCCCACTTGCGCAAGCCCCGACAACCGTTTACGAAAACCATATACTGTATACTAAACAGTTTACAGTGTAATACACCAGAAAAGTATTTAAACATATACAGTAAACAGTTTAAACAGTTTATATACAGTATTTACACTATATGGTTGGAGCCTTAGTAAACCGTAATAAATCGTCTAGGTTTCCAAGTTTTGAAAGCTCAGACAAACATTCAAGATCTCATGTATATGGTGTAAAGTATGGAAGTTGTCTGAAGTGAAATGAAAGTCGAATAGCTCTGCCGAAGGAAGAGCTCTAGTTTACCGAGACTAGGATTATCTCGTAAAGTCTTCATTTCAACCAACCTCTGGGCTCAACGCCAGTGATTTTGTAGAGTATGGCAATACGACTTTTGTAATTTGATGTTCCTGGAAGTCGTATTATGTCGGCCCCATAATGCGCGCATCAAACGGTCAGCTATACTGTAGATGAATTTTCCTCGCATGATAGTGCAAAGCTGACCTTCAACGTCTATAGAAGACTATAAAAGTCAATGACGCGAAGGGGTCGTCCTGGAGCCTTATTGAGTCTCTGTGGCAGTTGATCATTAATAGAGAGCATACCTATATCTTCGACAGTCTCTTCTGCACATCCCGCCTGTATCCATTCGGTGACATGCCTCTGTTCAGCGGATCTAGAGAGAACACGCGTGTACTTTAGTCGAGCAGAGTTTCGGAGGTGAGGCATCTTCTTCCTCACGACCTCGTTGTGAAACAGAAGCAGATCGTCGCGCGTTTCGAGGTGGAAGACGAACATGTCCAGCCCTGAGAGTGCATGTGTAATAGTGTCGATGGTTGACCAATCCGTGAAGCCAATGACGTCGGAGACAGGAAGACAGCTCTCCCAGGTGAAGTCGAAGCATATGACCTGTACTCGTTTTGCATGCTCCACCGTTCGTGGTGTATAGCATACGCGCACGCTTGCGGTCAAATCTACCCGGTTATGAGTCGCCCAAAATTCTGTTGAAGTATGAGTGACATTTCGTCATGCTAAGCAGTGCGTGCGCTGACCTGAGTAATCTGATTCAGTTCTGGCCCAACGGACTGATCTCATGGCCCAGTTCGGATATCTGGTACCGTCGATGTATTGAACTAGCGCAGACCCGAGACGACACATTAAGCCAGCTTCTTCTCCATTTAATCGATCTGCTCTGGTTGGGGCCAGTAGGATAGAGAGCCACGTAGAGGCGGCATTATCTGAGCAACCCTGCAGAGAGTAACTGATCTCTCGGTCGTGGAGCCGTGGCGTAGCTGTGAGATATGAGGTGACGGGTCGTTTGTTATACCCTGCATCCCGCTTCCAGGCTAGTGCTTCAAAGTCTACGAAGTACAACGTGGGAAAGCCTTGGAGCATCTGGAGAAGGTCTGCAAAGGTACGGAAGCTCAAAGCGAGGAGCTTCAAGTTGGTTATACCATGCGACATCCAGCTTAGGAGAGGTTTCGGTAGCATATCGTGGACGTTCTTCATTGTTTGCGAATTAGGCAATGGTCCAAGGACTTCCAATGAAATATTCCAGGGATATGATTGGGTGACCACCTGTAGTCGCGGTACCAAAATTGAGCAGAAAGTATGGACCCAGGGTGGACTTGGCCCCTCCGTAACATCCAAGGAAAGTTTGACTTCTCGTATGTAGCTCGCTACACGACTACGCTCGGAAAGCGTGAAGGAGCCGAGGGCGTTCACATCTGAGCGATCTCGAAGGGTTACATTCCAGAATATTCGCGGTTGCATGAGATACGCCCACCGACGACAAACGAGCGATATTGATGATAATACACGTTTGTTGCCGCATGATGTGTAGATATGGGCAAGGATAACGTCAAAAAGCTCGGGTGGGATGTCGGCAGCTGTAGCAAGATGACTGTGATCTTCTTGGGATGCCAGATCCAACACATTTTTATGTCGTTGCGCTACTTGCACCCAGCCACGCTGTTTTCTCGTGCGCGGCCCAGGACCAAAGACATCGAAACGTGGTTTCACGGAGGGAAACGCTTTCCATTCGTCATAGTTTGGTTCATCGACCGGGTCCCAAGGGGATGACCAGTAACGCAGAACCTGCTCATCGCCGGTGTGGTTCGTCGGTGTATCATGCAGATAGCCTTTCCACAACCACCATTCAAGAGGAATATCAAGTTGTGCGACTGAGGATTCCATGATCTGCACAGAGACCGTCAGTAATCTTGACAGAAAGAGAGGGAGAGAAGAGAGGACTTATTGACACGTACGTCCTTCGCTGAGCGGGCTTGAAGAGGCTGAAGCGCCTCATTACTACGGGTTGCTCACCTCTTTAAGAACGACGGTCTTGATTGGCTCTACCCCTGCGGGATCATTACAGAAACCTTATCGTATTGTCGCGGCGATGTAAAGCGGCAGACACGGCACATAGACCCTATGGTGAAAGGCACACAGGGTCCTCAACAAGGACTTGTAACACGGAAGAAGGTCTCTCACGAGCCAGATCAAGGCTAACTGCAGACACACCTCTCTTCCCCAGAACATGGAAGTTGTGTAGGGCAGCCGGGGTCGACCCTCACAACCTAGACGCGGGACGTTGGCTGGATATAGGTTTGGGCTGTCATGAGCTATTGTTCGGAGGATACTGAATACATGAACACATTATCATTCTAAGCGACGTACGGGAATTCAACCCCCGTCACGCCAGGGTCCAAGAGCGGGTTCAGCGAGGCGTAGCATGGCGCTGTATGGCACGGTTTGTATTGACTACTTGACGATACCCGCAGAGGCTATGCATGCGTCGTGGGCTAAGCGTTTTCTGACGCAAGAACGTGCTATGCCATGTCAGCTGCTATCGGCGGTGCCCGAGGGTTTACTGACTTACCGCAAAACCTCTAGTACTGTTAAGTTAGTTCGAGCAAGACCATCGTACTTGCGCGACCCGAATACACGTAGCTCTGAAAATACCAAGGGTCACCGCCATTGCCTCCGGCCGCTGATGAGACAGAGCGAGTCGTGAATTCTCAAATTCAGCTGTTCAGGAGTCAATATTGTATTGGGAACGTGCCCGAGGCGGTTCAACAGCCACCGGCTCAATGAGAGGATCCGCTTAGCCTAGTCAGAAGCTTGGTTATCCGGAAACCTTGTCGACTTATGCGTGAGTTCCTGATACTGTGATTGATGTAATATGTGAAAGTGAACTTCTCCCGGAATTATGTAGCTGGAGAGTGAGAAGCAGCAGCGCAGAAGACTGGAAAACTTGATGGATGATACAGGGGAGATCTGCTTGACTATTCGACCAAGTTGCCTTGAAACACAAAACGTGGGCTATGGCCGCACTCCGGAAATCTAACAGCTGAAACCCGGAAACATATAGCCAGGGTTGCAAAGATTGCGTCCGAATATAACATACATATCGTTCTAAATGCAAACAATATGATATAATTGACTGCAACAACTCTGGTCAATCGACGGGCACTCACTGGATACTGCGCTATCATGCTGCGCCGTCGCACCCCGAACTGTTACGGAGATCTCCGACTATCCAAGTCCTTTACACAGCGCAATTGACACGAAATTGGTAGCCGAGTACAACGGGTATGAGGGTACGCATGCAGCGGGCTGTAAAGCGGGAAGTGGGACTTGTTCAAGAACATGCTAATCCGAGCTTCGCGTAGAGAAGCGCGCGGACAATTGAAAGAACACGTGCCAGTGTCGGCTCAAGTTCAGACTACAAAGTCTGTAACTGTCTCTAAAATCCAAACAGAATCCTAAGAAATCAGAGATGATTCAGATCTGTTTCATGCAGAGCAAGATTCTTGCTAAATTGGAGTACGGGGCATCCCTGAATGGGGTCAATACGCAATATATACCAAGATCAAACTATCTAGCAGCGGTACTTGCGGAGTAGTCGAATTGTGAGACTATTGCTATCCACAGGGCCTGGGGAAGTGTCATGGACCAAATATGATCCTCAGTCGTAGCATTACAGTTCTCATCGACCAATGACATACAGAGGTAAACTGAGAGGTTTATGAATCATGTCCACAAGAGACCTTGTAGCGATCCAGCCAGCTGGATGCACGTTAGACGGTAGACACTGGCTCCATCTGCGTATGTCCAGTTGAATAGAGGCTACCATCGAGTGCCGAAGAAAACGGTAGTGCGCCCTCTTTGCTGCAAGAGCCGTTTGAGCGTTCACTGTGTAAGCGTGCAGGTAAGACAGGAATGTTATCGTCAGCGACAAGACCTCTGGTATTATCGACGGTCTTGTGTAGGTTGATCATCATGCGTGATAACATCGTGGA